GGGCTTTACAGTTCATATGCCACTTTTAAATTAATTTTAAAGACTTGAAGCATTTTGTTCACTTTGAACTTTTTATAGTTGTGCTTCCGATGGCTTGGATACTTGTATATTTTTGAAATGAGCCAAGATAAGTTATTATCTTTTCATTGACGGATGTTTCCATCTAATTCCATTTTTTGAGAAGTAGCTTCTAGTATTGTGTTCCGCTTATGCGTTTTGTTATCATTTAGTCTTTTTAAGGTTAGCTTGAAGTCTAAGCGAGTATTTCATGTATACAAGTATATAAACACTAACGACAATTTGGAACTTAAAAAAAAATATTACAAAAAAAATGCAACAGACAAATTTATATTCATTCTTTGCATTCTTTACAACTTCTTTGACAGGCATACAAAAAAGTATAGTCATTGTATTTTGTTTTTTTGGTTCTAAAAAATGTATTCTTTTCTTTTTCTTTTTTTTTTAATTTCATTTATTTTGCTGTTTAAAAATAGATAATCAACATATATATATATATATATATATATATATATATATATATATATATATATATATATATATATATATATATATATATATATATATATATATATATATATATATATATATTTATATATATATATATATATATATATATATATATATATATATATACATATATATATATATATATATATATATATATATATATATATATATATATATATATATATATATATATATATATATATATATATATACAAGAAAGAAAAAATATGTCTGTAAAACGAAGCAGTATAATTTTGTCAACAAGCACCGATTTTGTAAATACAATATAAAATATAAATTTTCTTTTTACAGTGATCTTTATAAAATAAAGAATTAAACAGACAGGAGCTCAAAGAAGATGAGATGACAATTAGTCATCGCAATCTTTTTATATATCATAACCCCTATTTGTATTTTCAATAGAATATAGATATTAGTTTAAATACCCTAATGGGCATAAAACTGCAGCGCTGATCAGTAAAACAAATGAAAATAAAAAAAATAAAAAAATAAAAATCAAATAACTTTATTCATGCACAAATTAATCTCAAATTTTTTTTACAAAATTTTTTGATTAGAAACTTAAATGAACTTAATGACTTTGCCATACATTTGAATCCTTTTTGATAAATATTCCATACATTTGGTCCTCAATATACAATGCTATATTCAGATAATTTATGAAAGTTTTTAGGCAATTTTTTGGGTTACTTATATTTGCTCTCATATAGGGTCAGATTTACCTATGGCTTGACTGGTTATTGCCAAAGGCAGCAAATTTTTCTCACAAATTTTAATCTGATATTATTGAATCAATATCATATGATGATATAAATCAATCTTTTGCAGAAACGAAATCAAGGCGTCATGCTTTGTAATTATTTATTCAATAAATATTTCAATGAATAATTCAACTTTCAAACTAAAATTTTTTGTAATAAGTTGTTGGGAAATATTCTAGTTTGAAAGTTGTTTTGTTTATCTTTTAGTTTATTTTTTCAATAAGTTGTGATTTTTACCAAGTCCTACAATTTGCTTTGTTATTATTTTTTTAAGAGAATACTTATTCTGTTTATTTGTTTATTTTATGTTTATTAATCTTTATTTTGTAATTGTTTCAATTAAAATACAGATTTACCGTGTTCACGCTTATTTTAGAGCAAATGACTCTGCACCCATGTTTTTGTATTATAAATATATTTTAGTGGTCTTAGATTAAATATATCTTATATGAGGAAGCCAGGTCAAACTGTCATCAACAAAAATTCCTAAGAATAAGATTTCTGGCATGAATAAGATAACTGGCTTGTTTTTAATTAATTTATTATTAATGATAGGGTCAGGCAATTTTAGAGGAAGAATTTAAAATACAATCAATCAAAATTATTCAAAATAGATTCAAGGATTCAAGATATAAAAATTGAACACTCTGCTATTTTATTTTAATTTTTATAATTTAATAATCAATTTCTATAATTTTTTTTTTAACAAATTAAAAAAAAATTAATTTTTTGTTGGCTGGCCTCTTTATAAACTATGGGCCTGCCACGGCTGCCTATGCTGGACATGTGTAAAGACTATGTATATGTATAAAGACTATGTATATGTATATGTATATTCTATGTATATGCTTTTTATTATCATTACTATTATTTTATTATATTGGTGCTTCAAGAAGCCGATGTGGATTGTCTTTTGAAATTGCAAAGTCTTCAACGGTCTTATCACATAACACTGCGGAGTAGCACTTAACCAGAAAGTTTACGCTTCCTTACTTATCAATGACGCATATATGACAAGAGTCGGCTTTTAACGATGGTCTTCTAGTTTTTAGGCCAGGACTCAAATCACTACCCAACAGCTGCTTTAATTTGTAATAAGTTGTTATTGGTAATAAATTTAGAAATGTAATTGTTACATTTTACTCGAAAGCTGATCAATAGAGACAAAAACTCAAGAAATTATAAAGATATGGTTCATAATTTATATTCTTGAGCCACAAACTTAATAGGGATAGATTGTCATTTGATTTATTAAAAAGAACTTAAACTTGTCTCAAAATTTTCACCTCTCATGAAGAAGTTTCACCTTTAGAAAATTTACCTCTCAGGAAGAAGTGTCATCTCTAGAAATTTCACCGACACATACATACGAACACATATACATACATACATACATACACACATACATACATACATACATACATACATACATACATACATACATACATACATACATACATACATACATACATACATACATACATACATACATACATACATACATACATACATACATACATACATACATACATACATACATACATACATACATACATACATACAGGGTGACCAGAAAAAACGGAGACAAACATTTTTATTCATTTTTTATTAAACCAACAAAAATTAAGTAAAACAGCGATGAATAACAACAACATGGACCTTCCGCAATTATACTCAGCCGGTTTCGAAGTGGCCTTCCCCCGCGGCGATACATAAGCCCAAAATTTTCAGCGATGGGTCGCAGATCTTCTGGCGACAATCGACGGTGAACAGCTTTTCGTCTGTGAACAGGATGCGCTCCCATTGCTGAGCAGCGGCTCAACGCTTGAGTTGGCGACATCTCTGGAGCCGCACACGTTTGTTTTTATTGGTGAGCAATTGAACTTTTAGGAGCTTGTAAGGCTTAAGGTTGAGCTCCCTTTTTGCCATTTGTCGTTTCATTCCGGTTTCACGGGCGATTTTTCGCATGGAGACCCTCGAATTTTGCTTAACTCGCTTCGTGATGATCTGGCGGTTGGCGAACGTGTTGACGGTGCGTCTTCTTCCTGTACGGCGACCTTCGTGGCCGAGCTCCTTGAAACGGTTGACGGCCTTGGACACAGTTTGCTTAGGCACATTAAGCAAGCGAACAAAATCACATTGACGCATCCTTAACGAAACAACCCCAAAATTGTAGTACGTTTATTTGACATTTTAAAAATATAATATATATTTTAGAGATATCAAACTAAGAACATATATATATACTAAACATAAAAACATGGAAAACCCGAAAACCAATAAAATTAATTAGATATCGTAAAAAACTTTATTATCAGGACATATTAAATTTTGTCTTCATTTTTTCTGGTCACCCTGTACTTACATACATACATGCATACATACAAACATACATACATACATACATACATACATACATACATACATACATACATACATACATACATACATACATACATACATACATACATACATACATACATACATACATACATACATACATACATACATACATACATACATACATACATACATACATACATACATACATACATACATACATACATACATACATACATACATACATACATACATACATACATACATACATACATACATACATACATACAATAGAACCATTATTAATAAGGCTTCATTTCCAAGATAATTTTTAAAGAAGAATATCACATTTAAGGATCCATTCTCCGGCGATGAATGAAAATAGTTTATTGATTTAGCGACAAGTTTATTTATTTCTGAATTAAACAAAATAGTTACAATATAATGCTATTAATATCCAGTCACATTGCATTGATATTCGAATTTTAATCGCGAATTGATGCGGATAAATTATCAAAGTTAAAGTTTTTTTTAAACTTTTTATTAACTTTTGATCAAGTTAAGAAAAAAGTTGTCACTTTAAAGTTGTCACTTAGATTACTATCGTCTTATTATTTATGAAGAACTATTAATAAACTTGTATTAAAGAATTCTCTGAGCTACAAAATAGAAGACAATATTCATTAAATTTAACTCAAATAATTCAAAGAATTATGATAACAAATATTGTCATTGCAGTTATTTGACTTTATTTTGAAATGTTTATTATAAAACTTTTTGTTTTAATTATCAAGCTCCAAGTTCAAAGAAATAATTCGCTTTTATGCTTTGCTTTATCTATTCAGCAGCGGCAGATCATAAGCAGATATTTTTTTAATTTTTTATGTAAAGAAATTAATTAATAGCTTGTTTCGTTCTTATCTTGTGGTGTATTTTAGATAATGTTAAAAAAAGTTTTGCTCATCTTTTTTTGCTTGATCTTGATTTTGCTTTAGTCGCAGGTTTTCGTAATTTTAGATTTTCATTTTTAAATTTTATTTTTCTTGTGTTTGCTTTACGGTATTAAGTAATATCTTAATTTGATAAACAAGTTTTTTAATGTTTATTTTCATTATGAATATCATTCATTATGATTTAAACGTTTTACAAATCTTTTATACTCCAAATTCAATTAAATACATTCCTAATTATGTACATTTATTTTAAAAAAAGGAAGTTAAATTTGAGTTGAAGTATAAATGGTTGTTCAAAAAGCTTTTTAAAGCAGTTATAAGAAATATTTATTCAAAAAATAATTGTTATAATAACGCAGTAAACTACACAAATTTAATTAGGTCAGTAATTTCAAATATGATCGACGTTTAGAGATAAACATTTATTGTGTTGCAATTAAAGCATTAAGATCGATAAAGTAGATACGGATATTGCGTGGTTGATGTTGCGTGATTCCTCAAGATGTAATTCAAGAAATGCATGGAAAAAAAGTCATAGACATATAACAGCTTACCTTAAATAGTCTATGATTAGATTATGAGAATGGACTGGGATTCTGACAGTGTCAATATTAAAACATGCTCAGTGGAAAAAGCCTTGATTCCATTAATTGCTCAGGTAAAGTGTAAAAAACTAACAGTGATATTTTAAATTTTCCACAGGTTCTTTAAAAAAAAGTAAAAATTTTACGAAACTTTTTTTTTTTAGTTTTTAAATTAAATACAATAAAACGCTTTACAAACTCATGTCTTTTTGAAAGTGTTAAATGCTGTTTATTTATTTTTATTGAAGTTTGACACTGTTTTTATTTTTTCATCTTTTATATTAAAGTTCGTGCAACCTTTTAAATTATATTATTTTATACCTATAGATTGGTAGAAAACTTATAAAACGATTTACTAGGGAACTACGAACTTTTTTCTAAAAATGTTTTTCTAGAATAATAAACCGAATTCAGGCACGTAAAAAAAATCAAATGGCTACTCTTTGCAAATTGTAAAAATTCAATTCTAAAATAGTTTGCATAAAACTTTATAAACTTAAGAAAAAAAGTTTTTAACTTGATATTTTTAAAATAATATTTAAAAATTAATAAAGTTCGGTAATGAGTAGTAGAACGCCGACTTTTTATTTTGTTGACTTTCGGGTTTATTTACTGGCCAAGTTTAGTAACCTCGCTTTTAATTAATTTTTTTTAACTGAAAAAAGGCGTGAAGAAAAAAAGTGTAAAAGAGAAATGAGAAAACATCTTATTGTTTTATTTATAAACTAATATACTAAATACCAAATGTTTTTAATTTTGTTATATAAACTATATACTATTTAATATTTGTAATTGCTGTTATTAATGTTGATAATTTATAATTATTGATATTCAATAATAAATATTATTATTGTTAATAAAAATTGTTAAATTGTTGTAAGATTATTATTATTGTTAATAAAAGTTGTTAAATTGTTGTAATTGAACAAAACTTTTAATTGGCTTTTTCATAAGAAAAGAAAAAAGTAATTAAAAAATTACAACTTTTTTTACGGTAATAAAACTGAATAAAAATAATATATACTGTTAAAATCTAGATATAAAGTAGTTTTATTTATTCAATATATTTAATACATACATCAACTAAATATAGTATTCTATATTGATATCTATACTATATTTAGTTTAGACGGGTGCTAGCACCTATCAAAACTCAAATCTCAGTTGATATGTTTACTGAATGAAACCCCCTCAGATGACAATTTTTGTATAATGTTTTAATGTTTCATGCAAGGCTAACAATAAAAAGACTTTCAAAAAAAATGATAAGTACATACATTGACTATCTGATAGCCTGCTGCTGATAGGAGCTATATCTACCGAGTATACGGTAAGGGTGAGGATTAGTCTAGGGTTAGGTTCAAATATGGTTATGTTACTATAATGATTTGTTTTTGTAAATAGATTTTTTTTAAAATCAATAATTTGAAATATAATATATAATAGTTAAAAAAAAAATTCTGCAAAATATAGTTTTTTATAACAAAATATTAAATTTAAATATGTGTAAATAAAAATATTAAATTTAAATATGTATAAATAAAAATAGACATAAAGTAAAAATATTAAAAAAAAAAAAAAAATTAAAAAAATAGTAGTTTGCGTGAATAAAATAAAATATATTTTTATAGGCCTAGTAGGAATCTATATATACGAAAAGCATATCTGTAATTTAAGATAATTGTTTTAAAAGATGGTAATCTGTGCTCTACAAGCATAAGAGATATACTATCACACTTATTGTTACCAAAAAATATTTTAGCACATTTGGCGTAGCAATACTGAAGGCATGCCATTGTTTTGTCATAATAATTTTGCCACAGAGGAGCACCATTTATACAAATGCAATATGATTTAAACAATTTAACCTTTACTCTAGTAGAGCATAAATGAAAGCATCTAATTAGAATATTTGTAGATGTGTAAAAACCCTTCACCTCCTTGGTTTTATCAAGATCATTGGTTAGTAATTTCATAATTCTGGGAAGGAGTTAGATATAATTTTTGATTTTTGAGTTGCATTAAACACCATACATATCATTTTTTTAGTATCAAAGGATACGTTAATTAAGGAAGATTCCTTATTTGTAAAGCTAGTTATTTTTTGAAGAGAAAACTAAGAAGGTGCAATAAGAATCATATCATCAGCGTATGCCACCACATTTGTAAAGATGCCACCTACATTACTTCTAATATGCAGGTTTGATATTATGAAATTCATATTGTGTATGTATAAGTTAAATAGAAGTGGTGACAATATACTTCTTTGACAAACCCCATTTCCAACTCTAAAATTATTTGATTTTGTTTCCA